GATGTTAGTAGTGGGTTATTCATAGATGCCCCTTGTCAGGTTGAAAAAGTTCCTTCGATTCCTAGTTTGCCGAATGTTTATCGTGAAAGGGTAGTGAATTTGTCAAATGCCTTTTCTGCATCTTTCGAGATGATGATGGTTTTTTTTGTTTTTTTTGTTAGGATTAATGTGGCATATTCCATTCATTTTTGTATGCTGAACCAACTTTGTATTCCTGAAATAAATCCCACCTGTTCATGATGTTTAATCTGTTACATATATTGCTGGATTTGGTCTGCTCTATTTTATTGAAGATGTTTGTGTCTGTAGTCATAAGGGATAGTGGCCTCTGGTTTCTTGTAATTGTTTTGTCTGATTTGGGTATCAGAATAATACTTACCTCATGGGATGAATTGAGAAACGTCCCCTCCTCTTCTATTTTTGGGAAGAATTTGTGACCAATTCCTTTAACATACGATTAGAATTCACCAGTGAAACCTTCTGACTCTGGACTTTGCTTTCCTTTCTTTTTGTGGCAAGTATTTTGATTATAAATCAAACTTCTTCTTTAGGTCTGTTCAGGTTTTCTATTTCTTCAGTTGGTTTTTGGTAGTTTAAGTCTTTCTAAGAATTTGTCTGTTGCGGGGCGCCTGGGTGGCGCAGTCGGTTAAGCGTCCGACTTCAGCCAGGTCACGATCTCGCGGTCCGTGAGTTCGAGCCCCGCGTCAGGCTGTGGGCTGATGGCTCAGAGCCTGGAGCCTGTTTCCGATTCTGTGTCTCCCTCTCTCTCTGCCCCTCCCCCGTTCATGCTCTGTCTCTCTCTGTCCCAAAAATAAATAAACGTGAAAAAAAAAAAAAAAAAAAGAATTTGTCTGTTGCATCCAGGTTATTTGATTTGTTGGAATACTATTGTTCGTAGTATTTCCTTAAAATCTTTTTTGTTTCTATCAAGTCAGCAAACTTCTTTTTTTTTTTAATTTTAAGATTTCCTTTATCAAGGTTCAGGAAGTTTCCTTCTCTTCCTGGTTTCCTAAGAGTTTGTGTCCTGAGGGAGTATTAAATTTTGTCACATTTTACTGTGCGTGTATATCCATGGAGGTTATGGAGGTTGTTTTTCTTCTTACTTTCTCTTTTAAAAAAAAAATTTGGGGGCACCTGGGTGGCTCAGTCGGTTGAGCATCCGACTTCAGCTCAGGTCATGATCTCATGGTTTGTGAGTTCGAGCCCCATGTCAGGCTCTGTGCTGACAGCTCAGACCCTGGGGCCTGCTTGGGATTCTGTGTCTCCCTCTCTCTCTGCCCCTCCCCTGCTCACACTCTGTCTCTGTCTCAAAAATAAATTAAAAAAAAATTTTTTTTAATGTGTATTTATTTTTGAGAGATAGAGAGAGAGAGAGAGAGAGAGAGAGAGAGTGCAATCAGGGGAGGGGCAGAGAGAGAGGGAGACAACACAGAACCCCAAGCAGGCTCCAGGCTCTAAGCTGTCAGCACAGAGCCTGATGCGAGACTCAAACCCACAGACACATCATGACCTGAGCTTAAGTCGTATGCTTAACCGACTGAGCCACCTAGGCGCCCCTTTTCTTACTTTCTCTTAGTGGAAAATTGCACTGATTGGATTTCTTTTTTTAACCTCAGCTTACGTTTCTGGGGTAAATTCCAGTTAGTCATGATATATTATTTTTTATATTGCTGTATTTAGTTTGCTAATATTTGGTTAAGGATGTTTATGTGTATGTTTATGAGGGATATTGGGTTATATATAGTTCTTTACCTGCAGTGTTTTTTTCTAGCTTAGGATCAGGGTAATGCCAGCCTCATAGAATGAATTGAGAAGATGTTCTTATCTTTTTTCTGGAATAATTGGTGTAGAATTTGTATTGCTTTTGCCTTAAATCTTTAGTCAGATTCTCCAGTGAACCCATATGGGATTTTTCTTTGTGACTGGTTATTTAACTATGAACTCAATGTCTGTAATAGATATAGGACTATTTCAGGTTATCTGTGTCTTCTTGAGTGAACTTGAGTATTTTGTATCTTTTAGGGTGTTTGTGTCACTTGGGTGGTCGAATTTATTAGCATAAATTTGTTCATAATCATTTTAATGCTTCTGATATCTGTGTATGTATTACTATCTCCTTCTTTCATTCCTGATACTAATAATTTGTGCCCTTTTTTTTTTTAAACTTTTTGGCTTAGAATTTTATCCATTTTCTTTATTTTTACAAAGAATCAGCTTTTAGTTTCATTATTTTTCTCTTTTGTATTTATCTATTTTCTATCTATTTTCCTTTTCCCAGGAAAAGGAACCCCGATTACATATATATACTAAACTGATAGTGTCCATGATCCGTTCATTTATTTTAAGCCTTTTACCCTTTTTGTTTTTCATGTTGGGTAGTTCTCTTGTTCTTTCCTCACTGATTTTTTCTTCTGTGGCATCTGATCTTTTATTTCTTACTGTATGTTTGGTTTTTTTTTAATGCTTATTTATTCTTGAGAGAGAGAGAGAGACAGAACGTGAGCTGGGGAGGGGCAGAGAGAAAGACAGAATCCAAAGCAGGCTCCAGGCTCTGAGCTGTTAACACAGAGCCCAACGTGGGGCTCGAACTCATGAACCACGAGATCGTGACCTGAGCCAAAGTGGACGCTTAACCGACTGAGCCATGCAGGCACCCCCGATCCTATACTGTGTGTTTTTTAACTATACAGTTTATTTGTATATCTCCAAGTTCCACTTGGGTTGGTTAGTTTTTGTTTGGGGTGTTTCACATCTTCCATTGCTCTCCTGATGGTATTCATGTTCTCCTTCATGACTTTGAGCACAGTTCTGGTATTTGTGACTGCTGCCGTAAGCTCCTTACTGGATGATTCCATCATCTCTGTCCTTTGTGGCTCTGCTTCTGATGGGTTTTTCTCCTGGCGATAGGTCATATTTTCCTGCTGTTTCAAATGCTTGATGCTTTTTCATTGGATAATTGACACTGTGAATTTTTATATTGTTAGGCATTAGATTTTGAAGAAGCACTGAACTTTGTTCTGGTTTACAGTTTAGTTACTTAGGACCACCTTGGTACTTTGGAGGCTGACTCGTATTAGGGTAGGTCTAGTGACGCCCTTAATCTATGGCTAATATTGCCCCATAATGAGGGGACCCTCATTATTCCTTATGCATTGAGGTCTCCTTTCTGGTTAAGAGAATGCAATTTGTTTCCTTCCCCCCCCCTCCCCCCCCCAACTCCCTGCTTTCTAGTGATTCTTTCCCCAGTCTTACGGAATTTGACCCTATGCTGGGGCAGGTGAGTATTGAGCAGACTCCAGGGAACCCTACTGAAGGTCTCCGGAGCTTTCTATGTGTAACTCCCTCCTCTCTGGTACTTTTCCCTGTAAATTCTAGCTCCCTTGGGCCTTCTAAACATTGATTTTTGCCTCTTCAAATCCACAAGACCACTGGGCTCTGTGCCAGTTCCCTGTCCCTGTGCTGCAGCTTGGGAACGGTGTTCAGGCAAGCCGGGCCATCCTGTTGCTTTACCACAGTTGTTCTTCTTTTTCCGGCTTACCTGTCTGAAAGCAGTGGTATGAGCATTCACAGTTGCTTGTAGCTGATGAACCACCACCACAGCAGGTCGTCCTTAATGGGTGGAAGTGAAAGTCCCCTCCCCGTCTGTTTTTGATGCATAGATTTGTTTGTTACCTGACTTGCAAGTCTCCAATGCATAGATGAATAATGTGTACAAAACTGTGATGAGATCTTCCCTTTTCATTATGCGTTTTTCCCTTGTTGTTAACAGTCTTCACATCCACCTGCCCTAGTGATTGTAATACGCTCCTTCCAGTAGATGTCCTAGAGTTTCCTAATTAGCCCTGCAGGGCTGAACACATAGATATTGGGGTATCCTCTTCTCTCAGTATGAAAATTGTGGCCTTGGCCTCCAAGGCCTGATGCCTTTAATTGAGAAGGATGGAAGATGTCCAGCAACCTTGAACAAGTGTCACTGACCCGTTCGTATCCTCAGATTTGTGATTCTACCTGTAACATGATATTTCAGGGAAATAAACCCACAACAACAACAAAGGCACAGAGAAACAATATTAGAATATCAGTTTAGGCAGGTGAGTTCATAGCAGAACAGTGATATTGGAAACAGCCCAGAAACTCAGCATGTGGTATATAGTTAAGCAACCTGTTGTATATCATGTGACAGAAGACTGTGTGGCCATTTGTAATGACAGGCATGTTACTCAGACCTTTTCCACTCAGAAATTACCCTATAGGGGCTCCTGAGTGGCTCAGTCGGCGAAACATCTGACTTCGGCCCACGTCATGATCTCACAGCTCGTGGGTTTGGGCCCCGCATCGGGCTCTGTGCTGACAGCTCAGGGCCTGGAGCCTGCTTCACATTCTGTGTCTCCCTCTCTCTTTCTGTCCCTCCCTCACTCAGGCTCTGTCTCTCTCTTTCTCAAAAATAAATAAACATTAAAAAAATGCATTGTATGAAAATGGCAAAGGAGTAGCCATGAAGGGAGGAGAACAGGCATGAGCTGTCAGTATAGAGCCTGATACGGGGCTTGAACCCATAGACTGCAAGATCACTTCCTAAGCTGAAGTCGGATACTTAACTGACGGAGTCCCCCAGGCGCCCCCTTGCCCTCGCACATTTCTGAGCTCGAATGCATGTTGTGTGTGGGTGTGGGGCCTCCCGGACAGACTCCCGCCCACAGTGCACCTGATGTGCCCTCAGCCCTGTGCTCAGGTCTCTCCCTGCGTCTTCTCTGGTTAGTCCCTCCAGCACGTGGGTCACGTCCTTGTGCTCATCCTCTTTCTTTCAAGTGACGGAGTTGAGGCTTTGCGAGGCTCTGTGGACAGCAAGATGATTGTCTGGACAGGAGCCAGGATTGGGACCCAGGCCTGAGTCCTAGAAGCCTGGTTTGGACTTACCTCACCCGCCACGCTGTAGTTCTTGTTAGTTGGCGAGCCTCTTGCACCTCAGGGTCACACGCTGTCCCCTTTTGTGCCTGCAGCGGACAACGAGAACAACATCGCCTCCAACCAGTCTCGATCGCCACCTGCTGTTGTGGAAGAGAAGTGGAAACCGCAGGCCCAGAGGAACAGCGCCAACAACAGTAGGTGTCTCCCAGGCCAGAGCCCAGGGGCTCGTTAGAGGTCGCCCCAGGCACCCCTAGTCCCCACTCCCATCGTTTCCCTCTGCCCCCCCATCCCACCACCTGTGCCTCTCCTGATGATGGAAGACTGCATCCGAAGCTCTTACACACCTCAGACCTCATCTGTGGGAATCGTGGCTTCACGGGATGGGCAGAAGGAAGCCCAGGGAGAGGAGGTGATCTTTTTGTGGTCAGAGAGCACATAATAGCGATAAGAGTCAGAACTGGAATCACAGTCGCCTCAGTTTCTGCTGGCTGCTCTTTCCTGATACCGTGGCCTCCTTGTTTTTATTCACTAGAGATCCCTTTACTGGAGGCAATTCCTGTATCGATGAAGAAGGTAGACTAGTTGGCCTCGAAGGTCTAGGTGAATGACACATGTAGCACGTGTGTTATACACATGCTGCTGTATTCTGTTCCCGTGCTCACAGCAGACATTACTAATCGATCCTAGAACATTATTCCCGTGAGACCGTCACACATCAAAGGCCACCAGCACCGCCAGTTTGTGTACCAGAGCAAACCTACTCGTAATTCCAAACACTAGATGCCTAGAGTGGCAGGCTGCTGCCAGGGAAAGGAACCTCAGATGCCGAGTTGAATTTCGTCTCTCTTTGTGTCCCCTGCCAGCCATAACCGGCGGTTTAACACCCAACAGCATGATTCCCGAGAAGGAGCGGCAGAATATCGCAGAGCGGCTGCTGAGGGTCATGTGCGCCGACCTGGGCGCACTGAGCGTGGTGAGTGGGAAGGAGTTCTTGAAACTGGCCCAGACGCTGGTGGACAGCGGTGCCCGCTACGGGGCCTTCTCGGTCACGGAGATCCTGGGCAACTTCAACACACTGGCGCTGAAGCACCTGCCCCGCATGTACAACCAGGTGAAGGTGAAGGTGACGTGTGCCTTGGGCAGCAACGCCTGCCTGGGCATCGGTGTCACCTGCCACTCGCAGAGCGTCGGCCCCGACTCCTGTTACATCCTCACAGCCTACCAGGCCGAGGGCAACCACATCAAGAGCTACGTGCTGGGCGTGAAGGGCGCGGACATTCGCGACAGCGGCGACCTGGTGCACCACTGGGTGCAGAACGTGCTGTCGGAGTTCGTGATGTCCGAGATCAGGACAGTGTACGTGACCGACTGCCGGGTGAGCGCGTCCGCTTTCTCCAAGGCCGGCATGTGCCTTCGCTGCTCAGCCTGTGCCTTGAACTCGGTGGTGCAGAGCGTGCTGAGCAAGCGGACGCTGCAGGCCCGCAGCATGCACGAGGTCATCGAGCTGCTCAACGTGTGCGAGGACCTGGCGGGCTCCACGGGCCTGGCCAAGGAGACCTTCGGGTCCCTCGAGGAGACCTCGCCGCCGCCCTGCTGGAACTCGGTCACGGACTCGCTGCTGCTGGTACACGAGCGCTACGAGCAGATCTGCGAGTTCTACAGCCGCGCCAAGAAGATGAACCTCATCCAGAGCCTCAACAAGCACCTGCTCAGCAACCTGGCGGCCATCCTGACGCCGGTGAAGCAGGCGGTCATCGAGCTGAGCAACGAGAGCCAGCCCACCCTGCAGCTCGTGCTGCCCACCTACGTCAGGCTGGAGAAGCTGTTCACGGCCAAGGCCAATGACGCGGGCACCGTCAGCAAGCTGTGTCACCTCTTCCTGGAGGCTCTCAAGGAGAACTTCAAAGTGCACCCGGCGCACAAGGTGGCCATGATCCTGGACCCGCAGCAGAAGCTGCGGCCGGTCCCGCCCTACCAGCACGAGGAGATCATCGGCAAGGTGTGCGAGCTCATCAACGAGGTGAAGGAGTCCTGGGCCGAGGAGGCCGACTTCGAGCCCTCCGCCAAGAAGTCCCGCTCCGCCGCGGGCGAGAACCCTGCAGCTCAGGAAGACGATCGGCTTGGGAAAAATGAAGTGTACGATTACCTGCAGGAGCCCCTCTTCCAGGCCACCCCTGATCTCTTCCAGTACTGGTCGTGCGTTACCCAAAAGCACACGAAACTCGCCAAGCTGGCCTTCTGGCTGCTCGCGGTCCCAGCCGTGGGGGCCAGGAGCGGGTGTGTAAATATGTGTGAGCAAGCGCTTCTAATCAAAAGGAGGCGACTGCTCAGTCCGGAAGATATGAACAAACTCATGTTTCTGAAATCCAACATGCTTTAAGACTTGACTTCGGAACAAAAAGAAATAAGAAAGAAAAGAAAAGAAAAAGAGAAGAGAAACATTAGGAAAACACACACACACACACACACACACACACACACACACACAACACTGTCGCAAACAAAGAAAAGGAATTTAAGTTCTAAACACTGTGGACCTCATTATAAATGCCCCCTGGAAACTTAAGTGCTTTTTCAGTGTGTGTGTGCATGTGTGTGCACACCCGCACACGTGTGGACGTGTCCCAGCACGTGCACCCTGGGTGTGGGGCGTGGGGGCCCCGTGCTCGTCTGCGCAGCCACGGCAGCTCTGTGCACGCATGCACACACACACAGCCCTGGTGCATGTGCACGTGCCTGCTCGCGGCACGTGTGCATTAAACTGGGTGTGTCAGGAAAGCTGAGTGGGAAAGAGGGAAGACGCTTCACCTCCTTTTCTCAGTGAGGGGCTTTAAAGACTCCGTTTTCAGGTGTGCAGATTGGTAGAAAGCTGATGTCGTAAAACGTTCAGGCAGCTGAGATCTGAAGTGACTTGACGCTCTCTGTCCTTGACCCCGTGGTCCCCACCCATCCCTCCTGACCCTCCCCCCCCACCCCCCTCCATGCACTCCTGACCCTCATGCACCCACCCCTCCCCGGCTGCTCTGCCATGGATTCTCCAGACTGCATCAGATGGACAGTTTCTGCACTGGACTTTGTTCTCGTTCACCTTCAGGGCATTGAGCTGTTGCCTTCGAGATACCCTTGGGTGTCACAGGGCAGCCGCCTTAGAAACACATCTATCTATCTCCCCAAATCAGGAAAGGAGACTTTAAGAATATAAAGCTGACTTTTTGCTTTTTAATATAAGATAGAAAAAAAACATTTTTTAAAGAAGTATAGATACTGTCTCCACTCCTTAATAATTGTTTTTCCTAACATTTTAGCAGTTTTTACCTGTTTTTTTTTTTTTTTTTTTTTTTTTTTTTTTTTTCCCCAGTTGCCCTTTTTGTTCCTCAAATCACACTGTAAACTAGCTCATCTCAGTGGTATACTCAGTATCCTAAGGTTTTTATTAGCCCTCGCTGTACAGTCCCATTTTCATGTATTTGAACAGCCAAGACCATGAACGTACTTGGCTTGGCTGTTTGGGAACCAGGAGTGGGGTTGGAGTCATGGATTTCACAGAGGTGGGGTTCGGTGGAAGCCATAGGGAAGCATGTGGCTTGGGAGTGTTCCTGAATGTAAGTGGAAGGCCCGCCCTCCTGGTTCGCTGTGTCTGGTACTGCGAATGTCTGATTTATATACCCAGAGTGCATTACACTACTCGCCCCATCACTGACACTTCCGGCTCCACAGGGACTCCTGAGTCCACCCATGTTCACGTCTGTCTCGCCTCGGACCCACGGCCCCTCCCCCCTCCCCAGGACCCCAGGGATTCCGGTGGTTCCATTGCCCGCAGCCTGGGGTTCCCCACGTGGGCCTCAGCCCTCCTTCCAGGACAGTAGTTGAGCAACGGTGCCTTGTGGGCCTAACAGTTGATGTCTTGAAGATAGAATGGCATTATCAGACCACACTCCCCTTGAGGCTGTGAAAGATGGCTTTTCTCTCCATGAGGAATTTACGTTTTACACACTCAGTCCATATGGCAAGAGGGTGGCCCCTTTGCCCTTACAAGAGGTGGTCTGTCACGGTCAGTACTCCACCCCCCACCCCACCTCTCCACGAGTAACGTGCCGGTGGCCGCCTGCCCCCTCGGTGCCCACGCCTGTAGGATACAGATGGTTACGCCAAGGGCTTCGGGCGAAGAACGACCACCATCACGGAGGACTCTTTGCAAAGGCACGTTTTACCATTTTGAGGGTTGACTCCACTCCGTCCCTTCCTGTTAATAAAGCATTACTTAGCCGTGAGATACCTCGATTCCAAAAAGCACTGTACAACATCCCCATCCCCGGGTCCGTAGCAGATGGGGAAGTCGAGTTGGTTCAGAGACTCAAGAAGGCTTAGGATTATAGGCCAGAACAGTGTCCCTGGGGGCCGAGCCCGCTCACGTCACCTCATGAGAACTAACCCAGCTTTCCCCTCCCAAGTGTTGGACGTACTAAAACGCATCAAAGCGGGCCATTCGAAGCTTCACTCCAGCAAGCCGTGGTCTCGGGAACCAATGTGCCATTTCCTCTCCTGGAGAAGCTCTGGGTATTTCTCCCCATTTCCAATTGGGTCACGTCACCAGAAGAGCCTCCATCTGCACTGGACGGTCACCGGATGGCGCTTTCTAGAGCGCGTGGGAGAATCAGCAGACCTTACGATCGGAGCTTTGAGGACATTTCAGAAGGCGGCTGCAGGGTTGCTGAAGAGTGACAGATGTATCCTGCAGCAGAAGGCCCCTCCGGTTTTGCTTTGCTGCTGGGGGAGGGTCCGCGACCTGGCCCTTTGAACCGCATGAGGAGGATCAGAGTTGCCCACTTGGTGTGGTTGGTGGGAGCAGAGCCTCGGAGCCCGTCCTCTCTCTACTGAAGGCAGAGTGGTTACACCGTTGCCCTGTGTTTGGGCCAGTTAGTTAGAAAACAGACATTTTACTCTCTTGCAAAGCCATCAGAGACCAAGCCCAGATAATGCGTTTAGAGCACTCCACATTCTCTTTGGAACACGGGGATATCTGCCCTCCAGAGTGAAAATTCGAGGAAGTCTAGTTAACTAAACTTTAGGCATGAAGTCCTATGTGTCCCCCCCCCCCCCCCCCCCCGTTCTGTTCTTTTTTCCAACCCTCGGGCTTGGCTTGCTCTGCAGGTTTAAGGTGGATGCCACTGGACACTCTCAACGCTGTCTCCAGGGGCTGCCTCCTCCAGGATGGTGACCAGGTGGCAGGTGGTCCTTTCTCTCTTGCAGCCACTGGTTCCTCAGAAACGGGTCGCGAACAGGAAAGGCTGTATCAAGGTGCCCCTTCAATCGGCTTTCTCACGCAGGCCATTCCCGTAGTGCACGTCTTGCTGCAGTGAACAGCTTAGTAAAATCCAAAGATCTCACAGGCTCAGCCACTGGCCCCTCGTTTCCAGCAATATCCACCTTACCCACATTCTAGTTTAGCCAAAGGACTGAGGTAGACTCTTCCAGTTCATCTCCCGGCACCTCCCCTGGCATCGACCTTCAGAAAGATTCTGTCTTCTGCACCCCCGTTCTGTGACCACTTTGGGACTTTCCACCACAGGCCCTTGGTTGCTGGCAGAGCAGGAAATAGGGCCATTTCTGTCATGTTCTCGACCGCTCAAGGTGGTCGTGTGCTGACTCGGACACGGCCTGCCTCAAGCCATGCGATTCCCAGGACAGAAATGGTCTGGCGCTGACATCCATGGAGCCCAGGGGGGAGGTGGAGACAACGCGCCTCCCCTCTGTGGGGTGTTTTCCCCTCCCGTGAGGCCACTGGGCTTCACCACCAAAGCCAGGGCCAAGGACTGCAGCCTCACGGGTGGTCGATGGAATAGCCTGGGCGTGGCTGCTCTTGTCCCAACACCGTTCTCCCTCCCTGTGCCCGGGTCCACCAGCCAGGCCCCCCTCAGATGGGGGCTGAAAGCCGGGAAGCGAAATGGAGGGGCCGCGCGAGCAGAGCTCCTGCCTGCACTTCACCTTGGGGGTTTGTGGTGCAGAAAGCTGTGGGCCGTACCTGCCAGCGAGGTTCCTTTGCCACCGTCCCCACCTGATGGCCTCTGGCTTGGCTGCTGGGGACCGGCCCTTGGCTGGGAGAAGGGTACAAAGGTTTCCTGGTGAGAGAACCGTCCGAGGAAGGACTTTTCTTTTTACATCTGGTCCATTGGCTGGCAAGTGATCTCTCCCTGAGTTTGCTCTTTATCTCCTGCACTTTGAAGAAACACCAGGGAAAAACTCTGCAAGGCGTGTTTTCCACTGTGAAGCCTCATCTCGCCTTCAGGAGGCCCCTGTGCTTATGCGAGGGGCAACCTGGGGAGACGTCAGGGATGCAGCACGCACTCTCGGGGGCCACGCGTTCACGAGAAAGGCTTGAAGGAAAGCTGGGTTGTGAACGGAGCTGGGCTCCTGTGAGCGACCGCCCAGGACGGGGGCAGT